GGGAAGCGTACCTAGCATTACAAGTGACTCATCTTTCCTGACACCCACCCTGAGCAGCTTTACCCCACCTCTGGTCCCCTCCCGATAAGGAAAGCTCCAGTGGATCCAGCTATAGCGAAAAGAAAGATGAACACCAGTACAAATCCACTATGTTGGCAGCACTTTAGAAGCCACAGGATTAAACCAGGAATTAAACTTTCCCCCTGGACTTCCAAAAATTAAGGATTCAAATGAAACAGCATGTAATCTCATACGTGAAATGCCAAGTGAAGAAGAGAGCTGCTATAACTGCATCTGGTGAAAGGGATGCTCCTACCAGACTCTGCAGCCAAGAGGGCAGGATTTCTGGGGTCGGAGGGAAAGCAAGTGAGGAGCCTGACTTTGTATTTCAATCCTTAGCTGGAAGTAGGGAGTCTGAATATTTTGACTATGGATTCCTTCGTCCTGATGCTTAGGCAACGCTGAGTGTGTCCTGCTGGAATCATGCAGGTCTGCATCAGAGAGGATATTGTTTCAACTGCAGATAAAAAGGTCAGGCTAGAGATAGCAGGCTAGGGAGAAAATAGAAACAGGACTTTTAGGAGCTGGCTGGAAATTTTCTTGAGATGATAACAATTATCATTGCAATACATTCTTATTCGTTGGAACAATCAAAGGAGAAATGATACATGAATTTTCCACCATTGTCAGTACAAAGTACAAAGGAACTCTCAAGTGCACCAGCTGATAAATAAACAGGTTCTTGAAAAGCCAGGAGATAAAAGGAAAATGTTCAAGTCAGCTGGGAGCCACGCTGGACCTTTGAAGGGATTAAGGAGGGCAAGCTGGAGTCCGTGGCAGATGCATGCAAAACCCTCACTGGGCAAGTATGCTACTGCTCTGCTGCACAGCTCGGACTTGCACGCTGAATTTCCAGCTCTCACCTATTGAGCCTGGAAACCAGATGGCTCAAACTTCCACAGAAAGGAAACCTCCAAGGCACACCAATACTGCCTTTGCAAGCGCGTCTAGGAATTGAGGGTGCTGTAGGAAAGGCTCGTGTATCAGTCTGAAAGCTCTAATAAGAATAATGTCTCTTCTGATAGTAAAAATAAACCACATGATAGTAAGACACATTTTTGTCTCTATAAAACACCCTGAAATAATCTCCCTAGTTGCACCTTTTTCACAGAGTCACCACTAAGGTTTATGGCGATTAATGGCCAGGCTGCCCCAGGCCCCCCCCCAAAACACTGTGGTGTATTGCAAACAGCACACGACGACTTCTGTTATGGTGCTTGGTTTTTACATCAGGAAAACATGGCAACCCAAGTGCATTAGCTGAAATATTTTTCAATTATTTTTGCCTTCTTTAGCAGATTAAAAAGGAAAACACTGGTCAAAAGTATGCTGTTGCTTAATGATTTTAGCTGCACATTATGCACGCTTGCAGGAGAAAAGGCAGACAGAGCAAGGCTTTGTGGTTTTTTTATGTAAACTGTTGAAAAGGTAACATCCTCATCCAGGATGTGGGTTCAAACAGCTCTTCAGCTTGAAGGAATTATTTTTACCTATCCTATATTAAATAAATAACTTAATATTCTATTCCAGATTTGTTATTGCCTAGGGAAAGGTCATACCTATCCGAGGTTATTGTGGACTAGGGCACTTTTCATCTTTCCCATTAGAAGTATATGTATATCCCCCCCTAAATATGCAAATTGTGGTGGATCTGGTTTTGAATCATCTAACTCCTCCCACCTACCTGATAATTCTGTCCTCCTTGATTTCTGTCCCAGGACCTTGATACCTTAAAGTGAGCACCGTGGTATTTAACTGCATTTCTCATGGATCTTGCCCTTATCAAATTCCCCAGGGTACCATTTTATTTGTCGGCTTCATACTCACAAAGTAACACCAAAACAGAAGTGTACACACAGCAAAACCAGGTCCCTCCCCTTGCTTCTCCCATTTCAGGACTAGTGTCCTGGGGCTGGTACCCAGGCAGATTTGGCCTCAGCTAGCTCAAAATCCCCAATGAGCTCTTGCCTGTGAGATCTTGGCCAAATCACTGCATTCCTCTGAGCCTCAGATTTGACATCTGCAAAGCCAGGACAATGCTAATGACTTACATGGTGAAAACTCTTCAGATCTGCTTCTGAAAATTACTACAGGAGAGTCGTATTTTAGTTATTATTGTTGTTGTCATTATTATTCCTATGCAGTCCCATCATCTCTATGAGCTCCTTACACATAGATAAGTGTATTCATAGAGCACAAATAACTGGGATGTCGGTTAAATTTTCTGTGCCTCATAATACCCATGACTCGTCCCCTTCTGTAGCGTCATATACTCAATCGTGATTCGAACCATCTGGATGAAGAGCAAAGCTCGGGCTGTCATCATATCCAGCTGCCCTGGTGAGTCACAGCACACATGCGTCTCCAGCCTCGTGATTCCAATTCGGCCGGTCCCCCCAAATCTGGGAATGCCTGGACATGCAGTGTCGCGTTGGGCCCCCATCACTGCGGTGGGAATGGGGTTTCTGTAATTGCTCCTTCATAACTCTTTTTTACATTATTTACCTTCTGTCCTTTGACACTAATCCCCTTTAGAGAAACGATGGAAAACATCTGCAAGAAAAGAATTAAAAAGTAAAAAATCCTTATTCTAGAAGTTAGAATCCCTATTCCTAGAACTTTGCCCATTTCCAGAATAATTCTTTTCTAGCATATACTTAGATAACGCTTTTGCTGTGTTTTCACATGCCCTTGCAAGTTTGGATTTTGGTCAAGCTCAGAAATTCCTGGCTACAGAAAGGACATGAGCTGAGCTTTCCACCCCAAGACCATAAACATTTTTGGACTGTTCTGAGCTATTTTGGCAAAGTGCACGCATCATTTCAAGATCTGCACTCGGCAGCTGCCTTTCCTATTAGTTATGAAGAAAAGTATGTTCATTTACACTAATGTGTTTTACAACGCAACTGTAAGAGCACACAACCAGTTAGTGCAGCCAAGTGGTGAGTGGAAACACATGAACCATGGGGACCAAGTTGCTGGTACTTGCCTGAAGCAGGATCATGGATCACGTCTGGTACAGGAGGAAGTGCCCTAATGTGATGTTGCACAATCAGATATCCTTATGTCATAACCTGACATCCGTCAACTATAATCTAAGATTTACTCCTCCTTTGAAAAGCTTGAGCAGGACTGATTTCTAATGGTCCTGCCTTCATGACACAATCAGTATTAACTAGTCTTGGAAAAAATATCATTCTCCTCATCCAGGAGATACATTCTGCTTTGTAAGTCACCAGGTGATTTCCAGTAATATTACATATGGACTAATTTCAAGCTTCTACATGGGATGTTTCACTGATAACAAGCCCACATTAATTTTATTTATATTTTTTTCTTTACAAATTACACAGCCTTGATATGCTGTTTTTATAAGAGGTGCAAGAAGTTGTGTACACAGAGTTATTTCCAATTACATCAGTCAACATTCCAGCCCTAAGTTTGGACTACAAGAGTTTAAAGATGTTTTGATAAAAAATGACCTTCTTGTATATTCACTATGGTGAACCTAATTATTCTGACCAAGCAACATGAACAGCAAATTGACATTAATAATGAAATCAGGCATATTATTGTAATCATGCTGGTACTGTTATTCAAATACAGAACTTGATTCTCAGAGACATTTGTGTTACTTCAGAGGAAATTAGATCAACCAGCCTTGGTGTGAGACTGAACAGAATTTGCTTCTCAATTCAAGCCACACTTCATATCTGAAAAGCTAGTCTAACAGCATTTCATATTTCATTACTGAGTCAACATGGAGAGTAAAATATATGACTGATTACCCAAAGCATCAAAAAGAGGAAAAGGTTAAGAAAATGAAGTATGTAGCTTTCAAAATCCTTCTGACTGAAATGCAGTTAAAAGTGAACAGGTAGTCTATTTTGCCAGATTGTTTCTTCTCTTTTCTTAATTATAGCTGCAATTCCTTTCAGAAAGTGTCTCCTATAACACCACTCTGGTTGCATTTTTGTAGCTGTGGTGGCCCATGGTTTTTATTAGACTGATACTGTTGGGCACATAGGCAGTGCTTTTCCTGACTAAGTGTCAAGGATCAGGAATGTCCAGCTGCCACAATGCTTCAGGAAGATCTCTTCTGCTTACATTTCCCCCTTTGATTTTGAGTGGCTCGGGGTTTGAGCGTCCAACTCGAGCAGGCTTGTAAGTGTCCAAATTTCAGGAACTACTGAGCCCCTGCCTGACACCAGGGAAGGATGGGCTACGTATCGCTATCCTGCCTGCAGAGTTATGTGCTGACACATCCACACAGCACCCCTACTCTTTCACTACCTGAACTGTTCTTTTCCCAGGTGGCAAAACCTTTGCTGGCTACACCAGTCGTGGGTTCATATCCAGGGCAAAAGTGAAAGCGATCAAGTACAGCATTGTAATTGTTCTTGGTAAGTGAAAAGCCCCACATCTGGTAGCTAGGGAGGATGCTGATGTTAGGAAGCTGGTCCTCCTCAGCTCCCTCCTCATTAGCAGATAAAGTACAGTAGATGGCTCAGAGAAGGAGCTTTACTTAGACCCCCTGACTTGCCTTCTGTCCTTGTCCTTCCCCTCTCCTCTGGCTGATAAGCTCCTATTTTAGGCCTCTGACATAAGCCTCAAATGAAATTATATGCACAGCCCCTCATGTGCATAAAGAAAGCAAAGGAGGGACATTGCCTAAAAGGAACAAAGGAAGGGGTCATCTCCTTCCCATCCAGGCTGCCAAAAGACTTGGCAACTGAGTTGTCTTTTAGGCTTAGAGACTATGTACGGCATGTTAGGTGCTGGGGTGGTGCAAGGGAGAGGAAGAAGAGGCGAGGGATGCAGAGCAATTGAATTTGATGTCAGAAGCATGTTGCCTGCCCAGGTGGGAAGAACGAGCTCTGCTTTCCCAACCAGGCAGCAGATGACTCGGTGCAGGTGTCCTCTGTCTCCCAGGGAGATGACATTATTCTGATGGAATTAGGAGGCTGACATTCTATCTCGATAAATAAAAGCAGCGTCACTCAAGGCTTGTGATTAGCTGCCAGAGACAGGCAGGAAGGCGACCGAAGCTATTTACTCCCAAGGGCTGACAGCCATCCCCTACCGCTAAAAAAAAAGAGATGGCTCCTCTTTCCAACGCTACACAAAATTCAGATTGGATGATACTGAGGTGCTTAGCTCACTGTTTAGCGGTAGTGTCTGCAGACATGAGAGAGGCCGGTGTGATTCATGCTTTTCAGAAGTCCAAGAACAGCTTCTCTGTGTCTGAACTTTTCTGAGTGGCAATCAGAGAAAGCTTTTGTCAGAAGCAACTACTATCACAATGCCATTAGATGTCAAGAGCTCACCTGGATGCTCAGTATTTCAAAGGACCTTGATAATATTAGGTACCCGGCATCTCTTAGTGTGGAGGGTGCGCCTAACATTCATGGATTTCTTTAAAGGCACTTAAAGTTCTGCGTGGTCAGTGCTGTGATCTATATGCTGACAATGCATATTGCTGTTTTGCTGATATCTGTGCATAGGCACTGCCGATTTGATTACTCTAGAAAACAGGAGGGGAGTTTATCTCTTCCTTGCACATTCAGTGAGTGCTCGGCTAACTGCCAACTAAGAAATACTGATTACTGCAACAAGAAAGCAAGCATGGGGTCACTCTGCTGTCTCATTTGGGCCAGGGAGAGATCATGCATCTGATTTCACAGATACCTGTATATTTGAAACTCAGGTACTTACGGCTTAGTTGAGTGAACTGCCTGTCCCAGTGTTCCTATGTAAGTCTTTAATCAAAAGCCTTTGTGAAAGGAGATGACATACAAATTTGTGAGGGACAGATTCATTTCCTATGTCTGCAAATAAAGGTAAACCTATGGCCTTTTTATTTCTACCACCTCTGAACAAAGGCAGGAGCTATGAACAGTGCAGTCCTCTCTTGCCTTCCCCAAATTCATCTCTCAAATTGCAGTATAGGAATTAAAGAGTCTTCCTGCACGCTCCATATACACAGCACCTCCAACCAGCATGCCAAATGACATGCTGGTCTGCTGTAATGTGGTGTAAAAAGGTGTCATTCCTTGCTCCTGGGTGTCTAGAGCCCTTTTTTAATAGGTGGCTGTGACAGGCAGTGCTGTCACGGCGCGGCACTTTGGTGGTATGTACATTTAGATTGGCTGCTCACTGAGGGGACCATTAAAAGAGCACTTCACTATAACTTATGATGCTTTAACTGGCTACCTATTTACCCTTTATGTCTTGTGTAGTGCTCAAAAGTGCCTCGATATGTCTAGAGGGAGCACTCTAAACACTTAGAGGAACACACATAATATATTTTACAGGCATTAAAATAAAAATAAAGATAAATAAAAGCACAATCTAATAGTTATTCTCCTAAATAAGACCCTGAATAGGGAGAGATTTTTTTTTTGCATGAACAAATATTTATGTGTTATGGCAGTCTCTCTCTGCGTGTGTGATTACTTCCCTAAATAGCTAAACTATCTAACATCAAGCTCTTCCTCTCTCTGTCTCTCTTCCAGCATTTGTTCTCTGTTGGAGCCCTTACTTTCTTTTTGATATCCTGGACAACTTCAACATACTCCCTGAGACCAAAGAGCGCTTCTATGCATCCGTGATCATTCAGAACCTGCCAGCCTTGAACAGTGCCATCAACCCCCTCATCTACTGCCTCTTCAGCAACCACCTCTGCCCCCCTTTCGAGTATCACTCCTTTACCATCACTTTGACTATCCCCTAAGAAGGGAGGGAACACATAAGCACAGTCCCTAAACCGACTACCTGTTTTCACCTGTTTTAATTCTGACCATTCCTTTTGTTCTTTAGGGAAGCTGGGGGGAACTTTCCGGGACAGGAGTGATGGAGGGCAGGAGATGCAGGTTCTGTCCAAACCAGAATACATCTAGCGTGGGCGATGCCCTGCAAAGCCACGCTGGAACCAGTACCATGGAAAGCGGAGGTCCCCCACAAGCCCCGAGCACCATGAGCTGATGGACACTGACTGGAAAGAGCCCGCACCTCGCTGCTGTTGAGCAGCACACGTGTTTTTGATCGGCACTGCAGCTTCAACAATTGCACATTGCTGGTGCCAAACTCAGTCCAGGTGGTTCGCATGCCACTGTTGTGAGGGCTCATCTTGGCCCTCTGTTTTCAAGCAAGCTGTAATATATATATGCCAAATGGCAAAAAACAATGTAAATGGTGTCTAGTCAGTCTTCTTTCTATTTTTCAGGAGTCGCTAAAAGCCATCTACTCTACCGTATGGGTCACGTAACTGATAAAGAGTATTTACAAGTAATTACAGAGCAGGATCCCTGCTTAAAATGAAAACACTGGCACTTTTCCAATGAGAACACACCACCGTCACTGTATGTAACTATATCTGAGTTTTGTACACAACCACTTACGAAGTGACACTCAGAGAAGAGGGGACTGAAGGGCTAGGTTACTGCCTCCCACCTCTCCTGGCCCCTCTCTTCAGCTCCCACCAGTCCTCCCAGCCGCACCGTCCCTGCAGCTCGTCCTCCCCTTCCCATGTGTTATTTCCCTGCTGTCCTACCTTGGTGTGTCGGTGGCACCCCAGGCTCCCTGCAGGGTTGCCACGCGACACCCCTGGACAGTCATTTATTTCTGGGCTACTGTATTAACAAAGTATCTGCCAGTCCCTCCCAGACCCTGCAGTGCATCAGGTGTGCCGATCCTCATGTGCTTCTGTGGCAAAGGTCCTGAGCGGTCTTCTGGGGACCCTGCACTCATTCCACCTACAGGGAGCTGTCGTCCAGGGCACTTCATCAACGGAGATCAATCTTGCCATCACACAGCAGCATTTCCTTGGCTCATGCACTAAGTAAATCATCCATGTAGCTTAAATCACCCAGGGAACCATACACATCTTTAGACAATCTCAGAGCTGGCGGAAGACCCGGGTGAAACTATAAAACTCAAATTACATTTAGAAAAAAATATCTGTTGATGGTCCAGTCTTTTAAACTCATTGTAGGGTCCACAGGCCACTGGCCGTCAGGCAGAGCTTCACGGCACAGCGCCCCAAGCAGTTGAGCATCCCCTTCCCCAGCCCTCGGGGCATCCTCCCACCACACTCTTCTCAAGTTTAAGGAGAAACGTTCTCAGGCAGGTTTAGAGGGTGGGTGAGTGGGTGGTATTGACTTCAGTGTTCATTTTACCGCAAGGCAGCGTAAAGTTTTTGTATGATAATGCACTCTAACCAGCTGTATGGCAAGTGTGTTTGTTTCCTCTTGGTAAAACAACTGCATTCTTACTTAAGTGAAATCAGTTTAAACAGGGTTTTTTTTATTATTATGATCCTTTGCAATGAGTTTGTTTCCTGCAAAACAAGAACTCAATAAAATTTATTTATAATTACCTATATTAAAAAAATCTTTTTTCCTAAGTAGGAGATACATAAAATCGTGGGGCTTTATGTTCTCAGGAAAATAAAGAAGGTTTCTCTTTTCATTATTACGAAGTTCTGTTATGTCTAAATTTTGGCAACAGCTTAATTAAAACCATGAATCTCCACCAGCCTTTACAGCAGCCACCTTGGATAGATTGTATATAAGAACTAGACAGAATTTTTTCTTGTGGGCATATTATAACTTTCCCAAAAGTAGACTGCTCGGTTTAAGCCTCATAGTGATACAGATTTTGTTTTCTAACTTTTTCATCTGATACATATACTTTTGAACAATTAATAGAGTTCGTAGACTTAATACCTGGAAATCAGATAACATTTCTGAGCAGTACTTTGATTTGCAAATTTAATATGCCTCAATCACACTAAAATTTATGTATTATTCACTGGGGTCACCACATTAATTATCCCATCTAAATCAAGCATATGCATGAGTAAATGTAGGACTCCAGCCTTAAATGAAGTCATTACCCATTTATTTTCAAAGAAACAGTCTTTTTTTTTTCATTCATTATTGTATTATGTGCCATTTACATGTTGTTCATATCCTTTTTCCTCTGGACATGATTGTGATGCCCTTCCTTGTATGAGGATCTTTCAGTTTAAATGGCCTCACACCACTTTTGTCTGCATCCCTTCCAAGCACTTAGGACAGAAATAAATAATTTATCTCATTTTCTATCCTGCTTTCTTGCTGCGCAAGAGATGGCATTTTACTACCTTTTTATATTCTCCAAAACTTTTGTTGTAAAGAAACGGAGAAAAAGGTGAGCTTTTCCATTAGTCTAGAAAACACTTGCGTGGCCCTCCTTTGTCTCTTGGGAGAGTGATTTCAGGAATTTCATCTGACTCCAGGAAGTTTCTTACTCTTATTCCATGTCTGCAACTTGCTCTACCTCCGTTGACTGTTTAGTTGCTTAATTGTGAGAGAGTTGTTACGAAAGACCCCAGGCCTATGAGGAGAGGTAGCGAAAGTCGGTGTCAAGGTCCGAACGCCCATAGAGAGCCTGAACACAAGAAGAAGAGGGCACCCAGCTGGTTCGTCCATGACCGCCCAGGAGGAGCTGTGCTTTTCATTCGCTTTAACACTTCCAAGATGCGTCTGTGAGATCCTTCTGACATTCGCACAGCAACCAGAAATATTTGTATGCATGACTGTAAGGACATAAAATCCTGTATGGTGATAAAGTCCTGTATGATTATAGATTACCAGGAAGCATGATAAACCAGATACTCATCCCTCAGAGAAGTCACATCAAACAACATAGGACTAGGACACTATTCAAACTAATACATTAGTTCAAGAGAATAGAAAATGTGTGCATTCTGTGACAGGTTCAAATAAAATCCGAATGAGAAAGCTATTTAACTTGCTATTGGACATTTTTCGATGTAATTTAAAGTTCAATTCTTTTAGTCCAGATTTCCATCTGTTGCTAAAAGTGTAAAGCAGTATTTTGTCTTTCATCTTGGTTTTGCCTTTGAAATTTCTGTCTCCTTTTTTATTTTCACTTTGAAAAAAACTAATGCAAGACAGCAAAATTTAACATCCAGATCACTGGGTAGGTATACTCTAAAAGTAAAAGCCTACATAGAAGCATTTTGCATCCTCCTGCATGTTGCTGATCAAGCGCTTAGAGGTGCAGCCATTATCAGTCAAAAAAAAAAAAAAAAAAGGTAACCACTGCCTGGTTGTTTGTAGGTTTGGGGTTTTTTTTGAAAGATATCTTTCACAGAAAAATAATCAGACCTTTTGATATGATACAGGATGATTTGCCTTCCACAGAACAAAAAAAAAAGTAATTCTTACACATCTCTAAGACTTGCAAGGCATGAATGAATGAAGGTCCATACTCTACAAGTTACCTGGACATTTAAATATGAATTGTTTTAGTGGGAATCAGGCACATAAATGTAATTACAGAAGTGGACTTACACAATACGTTTTTAGAGTACTGGCTTTTGCAAGCGTCAGACCCCTACTGATAGCAGTCTCTAAGAAGGACACATAAGCAGAAGAAGTAAAAGCGATTCTAGTACTTATTTTAGTTCAAGCTGTGGCATCTGAATACCAGAAAGCTTTATGTCTACTAAGATTTCATATTTTCTTGACACTACAAGATGCAGGAAACTGGGAAAATCCTCTCTCAAACCACAGGCCCCTATTCAAAACACAGGAACAAATGACTCAACTAAAAAAGAACATTTTCAAAGTGACTTTGGTGGAGAATTTCTCAAGATATGAGTGCTTTGGGGTAACTCTGACCCGAGATAACTAAGAATAGTCTCTTGGCACTCTCTTTACAGGGAATACACTTGCTGGCGAGATGCCTCAAGTTCTGCATCCCTTCAGGAATCCCTACCTTGCTGCTTGTGTGGATTTGTTTCAGACAAGAACCCGGAAGGCATCACGCTACCTGCCACTTCACCTTACCCCTCACAAGGACTGCATGGACTCTTCAGAAATACTTGATGGAAACAGAACAACTACAGAAGAAAGAAATTGTGGAAAGCACAGAAAAAAAGTATATATACGCTGTGGGCACAAGTGCCTTCTGTCAAGAGAGGAATCATTCTACAGATGAAAATAAACTAGTGCAGAAGCTATCTGTCTCTATCTGCCAACCCAGAGCCTGGTGCTTACAGGAGCAGAGATTTTAGTTTATTCATCAACCTTGGGAAACATGATTGATTTGGGGAGTAAATGCAATTTTTAGTGTAAGGTAAAATATGTTTCATTTTCTTTAGCAATCTGTAATTTACTTTATACAGCATTCAATTTAGATAAGCATTATAGCTGAATGGTTCATCAGATAATCTTTTGTCATGTTTGATGGCATCTTATTCTGAGTATGCATAAAATATGGGGGTAGAGGGTTAGGCATACAAACACAGGCATGAATTTACAAATAGGCATCGCTGATTCCTCAGACTGAGTTGGTTATAGTGGTACGTAATTAGAAGCTTAACTGTTAATTTAGACTCAAGCGAGGCAAATGAAAATGGGCTAAAATTCAGCAGCTTTAATAAATTCAATAAAAATGAACAGAGTCTGAGGCATCACATAGGAAGAACTAGATGATCTTCAGAACCCAAATAGCAAAAATGTGGTGAAATGTACCACGCTGTGTGCTAACAATCAATTACTTCAATTACAAAAAATTCTGTTATATATTGGGAGCTCATCAGCTGGAAATATCTGAAAAGAAGAAATCCTCGAACGTGTTCATCGGACAGACAATGGCTGGTTACTGACAACAACACGGACGGTGGGGTCAGGGGGCTAGTACGATCCAAACATGTATCTGGTGAAGCATTTGTCAGAAGAGCTATGGCTGTGCTAGTGTCACTGTTGCCTTCTGTTGAGACCATTCTGTGCAAAACAAGAGAAAGAAAGAATGTGGAAAAGAACGACCTCAGATTTTGGCTTGTTGGGGCTGGTAAAATGGAAAGGGGTAGTTCTGCTGCCTGTTA